AAACACGCACACACACAAGTCAAAAGCGAAGTTAAGTTGTATGATATTCTTAAAAAAAATGAAGATCATTTAGCCTTGACCAAAAGGAAGAAACCTAAGACCCCTTCCAGTATCATTTAGAAGAAGCAAATAACCAAAATATCAGAATCCCATTTCATATACTTCTAACAGCACCGAAACATACAGCAACCCATCAATTATTTCAAAAGTTCAAACAAAAACACTCAGATGTTGTGAATGCAAGGCAATTGCTAAATCCTCCATGCCAAGAGAGAAGCAGGTTTCGTTCTTCGTCATGAAACCGTTTGATCTAAAACAACTTAAGTGCAAAATTACTAAGTTTGAGCTGCATTCTGTTTTCACTATGGAGCCAACTGTTGGCTTCATAGCAAAAGCGTAAAAAACAATACCAAATTCCCCGAAAGCCCGACACAAATTAAAAGGCATATCTCCCCCATACTATAATTCCTCACTAAACTCAATTTTGCCAAATTATAACATACAATCGCAAACAGAAAAACAAAAAGCACAACATGGCCACTGATCTTTCTCAGCTGGGTTCTTCGATCAGATGACAACCGATCTAAACATACAAATCATACGATCCTAGAGTAAACTGATTTCCAATCACATAACGGATTCAAAGAGATCAAACAAGCCACAACCAATAAAAAACGAACAATAATCGAATTTTCCCAATCGGAAATGACCGATTGAAACCAGTTGCGTCATCTGCAACGACAATCGACGAGCTGAGATTATGAAATCTTCAAAAAAAAAAAACGTCTAAATGAAAAAAAATGCGTACTATTCTGGATTCATGGCAGGCTCAGGATCTGCAAATTTGTGCACCGACGCAGGCTCGAAGGCTGAGAAATCAACGTATGAAAAAAATCGAGCAGATGAAAACGAGGGAATTTGAAAGAGATGGAGAATTGAAGCGTACGGAGATGGATGAGTAGTTAGAGAATCGTGGGAAATGAAGAGGTGACATGACAACGCCAAGAAGTGCTGGCCGCGTGGCGTAATATTCGGTATATGGCTATGACATTTATGCCCTTTTGTGCGAGAGAATTACGTTGGAATGAAATGATCATTATCTTAGACCTGTATTTAATTGAGAATCTAAGTGACATTTTAAGATTTTTAAAAATTTGAGACAGTTAGAATTTTTTGGGAAGAATTCTACGAAATATTTTAATTTAGGAAGAATTTTACGAAATCTTGACTCTGGAGGTAGAATTTCAAATAGAATTTTTTTATTTAGAAATCCCACTAAAACTTAATACAATTTTGTAAGACTTTTGAAAATCTCGATTGAATACTCTAGAATTTTTAAAAGTCTTAAAAAATCTTAACAAATCTAAATTAAATACACTATAATTTCTAAAGTCTTAAAAAGTCCATGCAAATCCTAATTGAATACACCCCATTATTTTTTAAAGGAAGATCATTCCAATGGAAATTGCAAAACACGTCTCGATAGATTAGTCATTCAATAGCAAATGCAAGATTTTCTCATTCTCATAGGATATGCAAGATTTTCTCATTTCATTATGTGTATGAATCAACTTTTCAAAAGATAGAATTGACAAATAATTCGAATAAAAGGGTACATTGAAAGATATCTGAGACTACGACATCTTGGGGGGTGGGCAAGAGCTGGTTAGAGCAAAGGAAAGGTTCATCGCTGGGAAGACTACATCCGGCCTCTTCAATGTTTAGTGGTTGATTTACCGCCAGCACTTGGGGAAATATCTGGTCAGGCCAGTCTGCCGGTCGCTTTGCTGCTTGCTCCAGTGAAAAAACCTTATTCTTCCGATGTCGATTACTGAGGGTAAAGAAACCCTTCTTCACACTTTCCCTTTTAAGAGCCGTTTTCGGTTCAGACCCTTTTTCCGGATTTATCCAACTCAATGAATTCGTCGGGCGGTCAGGCGGGATCCGGGTGGAGTAGTATTTGCCAATGGATTAGCAAACCTACCACCAAGCAAATGGCAAACCATCTGATCTTCCCAAGTCCTTTAAGCCCCGAGGTCCAATTTATAGTGAATGGGACCTCAACCCATACATAGACGATTATCAGAGCCCGTTATAGTAGAATATTCGTGATTTACGTTCTCATGAGTTTACACGTGAATTTGGTGACCCAGTTCGGATATATATCCTACGTCTGGAGGCGATACCAAGCCAGGAGAAATTACTCAAAAGAGGAGTAGCCAAAGATGGAAGATGATGTTGAGGATAGATGTAATTTAGATTGCAAATAATAAAGAAATATATAATATATAGTGTAATTCATGATTAAATTATATTAAATAAAATTATTCTAAAAAATAAATTTCAAATTAGAAATTTAAAAACTTATTTTATTTATTGTTCATATTTTAATTAGGGGAAATTCTACGGTCTCGTTACACAATCATTCTGTCGGGGTTTGTAACCGTTAGATCAACTATCACGATATTTATATGATGTATAACGATTACAAATTCCAACGGAATGATTCCGTAACGGAACTGTAGCATTTCCCTTTTAATTAGATATATTAAATACATACAACAACAAAAACAACAACAACAACAACAACAACAACAACAACAACAACAACAACAACAAGCCATTAAAATTCTACTAAGTGGGGTTGGCTATATGGATCGCATGTCTATATCGTACTCGATCAAATCACATATCTTCATTCGAATTTAAATATTTTAAAATATTATTTTATTATTTTATTCCAAGTTTTTTATGGGTCTACCTCTCTCTTTTTAATTTGCGTTATTAATTCTAGTGATTCGACCCTTCTCACCAGGGTCTCGAAGTCTCTCCTACGCACATGCTCAAACCATCTTATATAAAAAAAAAACCAAAAAAAATGCGTTTGTAAATAATTTAAAAAGACATCATCTTATTCTTCAACAACATCAAACAAGATCGTGTTTTTTTGTTCACATGAGTTTTTCTTGTGTCTAGACCTTTGAAGCAGAAGGTGGTGGCATAGTTAAGCTGTGAAGCGAAATACATATCTGCTAGTCAAACATTGTGGCTCGCTCGGGTGCTAGCTGAGGTGCGGGGATCAACACCAAGAGCGCCAATGCTGAGGGTGGACAACAAGTCCGCCATTGCCTTAATCAAGAGCCAAATACTCCATAAACAGAGCAAGCACATTCAAGTGAAATATCATTTTGTCCGGGAGTCTGCAAAGGAAGGGCTTGATTAATGTTTCATATTGAGCAAAGAACATCTTGGCGACATTCTGACAAAACCGCTTAGGAGGACCAAGTTCTATAAACTACACTCTGAGATCGGTCTGATCAATGTCAGCAATGTGCACAAGGCTTAGGAAGAGATTGTAGAAAATATTCTATTATAAGATATAATCATTGTGCACCTAAATTTATTTATTTGTTTTTCTTAGTTGCTTCCTCAGACTAGTTGTGAATATCACCCTGATTGTAAGGCCATAATGAGTTTACTTGTTATCTTTTATTTAAGTAATAGAACAACATTAGAAAAAATTGTTAATTCAACTGCACCAAACAAGATCGTGTTCTTTTGTTCGCACGAGTTTTTTCTTGTGTCTTGACCTTTGATCTAGCCGACAAACTGGGTGTTGTCTCTCCGACAAAGTTCTAACAACGTCCACATAATAGAAATCCACAAACGTTTTGTGCATTAAATTCTTATGTGAGATTAGTAGTGCTAGGCGGGATGATCCCATCATACCCAACAAATAAAAATGCATACTTATATTATCAGTTGTCATACTTCAATTTATATTTGGTACGTAAAAGACCTTCGACCGGATTGGTTCGACTTGATCTGCCTTCCTCATCGGTGTATGATCTTCGATACTTCACAAACTCAACGACGGAGGGATTTCCAGCGTAGAGCCTCTGGTGTCTATGTCATAAAATGTAACCTTCCTATATAAGGGAGTGGAGTATGTCCATTAAAACATTAAACTCTACACACTTACAGTATTGAAGATGATGAACAATAATGTAAGTGTGTAGATTGTAATGCTCTAATGGACATACCTCACTCTCTTATATAAGAAGGTGTTACCTTGTTGTTTAAGACTGCCCAAGTGAGCTGCCCGGTCTGCCCAAATTGCCAGCCCGTAATGCCCAAACTGCTCGAACTCCCAATTATGTTAGACCACGTAACCCTATCCACGTGTGACCCGTTCCATTAATTTGCTTTATTAGATGACGATTTAATTGTACGCCAAATCATCTCGAGGTCGAAAGATGAGTAGCTAGGTTTAGTCGCTTATCCTTTCCATCTGGTCGATCACTCGACTAGTTATGCTTTCAGGTCGAGTTTCACTCAGCTAATTAAGGACTTTAACTCGACTTGTCAGTGTTCCTTTGAACCTGCACGCCCTTGTCGACCTGAGAACTCATTGTTCTGTAGCCACATTCAACCTTCGTTCTGCCCAGGGACGAATCCAGAAATTAAGAGTAGGCCTAGCTAGAATTTTAAGAACTCATTTTCAAAAAATCACATAATATTTTTTCTTCAAATATTCACTGACGTTGTGCTCGACGAGCTTCACTAGTTTGACGCCGATCCCGTTTTCTAAAGAACGATAATATTAATGGGAATTTTCCTTTCTTGGCCGAAGGTTTGTGCTCCTTGTTAATTTCTAAAAATTCCATAATACAAATAAATAGATTTTTCATATAACATAATTATTAGCAAAATAAAATACCTACACTTCCT